AAAAAAAAAAAAAAAAAAAAAAAAAAAAAAAAAAGAAAATACATAGGACAAATACATTTCAACAATCATTCCTTTGCATTGAATTTACACTTACAAAATTGTTCATTATGTGAATAAGAGCTAATACTTTGCAGTTAGTGTGTAGAAATGCACTTAATAGAAAAACTGTATGGGTTGGGAACCATTGTTATTCCCATTGTACAAATGAGAAGACTTTCCAGTCTTCTGGAAATACCATCCGAGGTTGATTATGGTTTGGATGTTTGTCCCCTCCAAATCTTGTGTTGAAATGTAATCCCCAATGTTGGAGGTTGGGCCTGGTGGGAGGTGTTCGGGTCTTGGGGGTGTATCCCTCAGAATGGCTTGGTGCTGTCCTCATGATAATGAGTGAGTTCTCATTTTAAGTTCACATGTGATCTGGCTATTTAAAAGAGCGTGGCCCCTCCCCCCTTTCTCTCTTGCTCCTACTCTTGTTATATGACCTGTTGGCTCCCCATCACCTTCCGTCATTGTAAGTTTCCTGAAGCCTCACTAGCAGCAGATGCCAGTACCATGTTTCCTGTAAAAGCCTGAAGAATTGTGAGCCATTTAAACATCCTTTAAAAAAAATAGACGGCTGGGTGCAGTGGCTCATACCTGTAATCCCAACACTTTGGGAGGCCGAGGCAGGTGGATCACCTGAGGTCAGGAGTTCGAGACCAGCCTGGGCAACGTGGTGAAACCTCGTCTCTACTAAAAATACAAAAATTGGCCAGGTATGGTGGCAGGCATCTGTAATCCCAGCTACTTGGGAGGCTGAGGCAGAGTAATCACTTGAACTAGAGAGGCAGAGGTTGTGGTGAGCCAAGATTGTGCCACTGTACTCCAGCCTGGCTGACAGAGTGAGACTCTGTCTCAGGAAAAAAAAAAAAAAAGATGGGATCTTGCTATGTTGCCCATGCTGGTCTCAAAGCCCTGGGCTCAAGTGATCCTCCTGCCTTCGCCTCCCAAAGTGTTGGGATTACAGGCATGAGCAACCACACCTGGCCAAACCTCTTTTCTTTTCTTTTTTTTTTTTTTTAAGACGGGGTTTCACCATGTTGGTCAGGCTGGTCTTGAACTCCCAACCTCAGGTGATCCGCCTGCCTTGGCCTCCAAAGCGCTTGGATTACGGGCGTGAGCCACTACGCCCGGCCAAACCTCTTTTCTTTATAAACTATCTAGACTAGGATATTTCTTTTCTTTTCCCCTCTGTCCCTCCCTTCCTCCTTCCTTCCCTCCCTCTCTCCTCCTTTCTTTTCCTTCCTTCTTTTCTTTCTTTTCCTTCTTTCCTTCCTTTTTCTTCCTTTCTTTTTCTCTCCCCTCCCCTTCCTTTTTCCTTCCTTCCTTCTCTCTCTCTCTCTCTTTCTCTCTTCTTTCTTTCTTTCTTGATGGATTCTTGCCCTGTTGCCCAGGCTAAAATACAATGGCGGAATCTCGACTCACTGCAACCTCTGCCTCCCAGGTTCAAGTGATTCTCCTACCTCAGCCCCCCAAGTAGCTGGGATTATAGGCACCCACCAATGTGCCTGGCTAATTTTTGTATTTTTAGTAGAGAAGGGGTTTAACCATTTTGGCCAGGCTGGTCTCGAACTCCTGACGTTGTGATCCACCCACCTTGGCCTCCCAAAGTGCTGGGATTACAGACATGAGCCACCTAGCCCAGCCTGTTTTTTTTTGAGATGGAATTTTACTCTTGTTGCCCAGGCTAGAGTGCAGTAGCGTGATCTCAGCTCCCTGCAACCTTTGCCTCCCAAGTTCAAGTGATTCTCCTACCTCAGCCTCCCAAGTAACTGGGATTACAGCCGCGCGTCACCACATCAAGCTAATTTAGTATATTTTTAGTAGAAATGGAGTTTCACCATGCTGGCCAGGATGGTCTCAAACTCCCAAACTCAGGTGATCCACCTGCTTCAGCCTCCCAAAGTGCTAGGATTACAGGCATGAGCTACTTTACCCGGCTCAAAATAATTCTTTATAGTAACACAAAAATGGCCTAACACAAAGGTCACATAGCAGATAGGCTCTAGTAAGAAAGAGAGCTGGGATTTTAAGGCAGGTGAACTGGGTCTAATGTTTCTACTGTTTACTCCTCTCTTCTTACCCTCCCATGTTGAAATCTCTTGGTTATAAATTTTTGCTTGTGCTCCCTTATAGGATCACCTTCTTGAATCACAGTGGGGTCTTATTTTCATACCTATTGAGGGTATAGTGATTCCTTGAGGGTTACAAGGTCTGAAGATAGATGAGTTCTTGGCATTTTGGAGAAGCCAGAGACTGGGTGCTCTGAGTCATTGGTTGTCAGACTGAGCTCCCCCCATCACACAACTTAAGCTAGACTGCTCTGAGTGTCAGAAGGCGGCTAGATGGGGAAAGGATCTGGGTTTTACAAGAGGCAAGTATAGAAATGTCAAAATTGGAGTCCAGGGTGAGAGCATGGCGTGGTAGGACAACATTGTCTGCCACCTGGGTATGATGGTTGGAGCACTGGTTAGTGGGTGTGGCCTGAGGTAAATGTAGTCATTCCCACTCTAGGTGTAAAGTGCTTCATATTGGCGGGGAGCTTTCTGCGTCAGGAGCTTTACAGTAGTATTGTCAGAAATGCTGGTGGGCACTGTGAGCACAGATTTCATGGATTTTATAGATGAGAGAACTGAAGCTTAGGAGTCTGTGTTCCAAGATCACACAATTATTAGCAGTAGGAGTCCAAGTTGAACCAAGCCGGAAGAGTTACTGAGTGTTTTGGCACCCTTGGCCTTAATCTACTACTCTTCAGATTTCACAGCCCCCATATTCTGGATAATTCACTCAAAGCTTGAGAGTTAGAGATGAGGGAATCAACATAGGCATCAAAGAGAAGACAGATGCCAACACTAGCATGGAGGAAAGATTGCAGCTGATCTGGAGGTATGATTGGGAGCGGTTGAGAAGACTTTCAGGGGTGTCCCTGATGAGGGAGGGCACAAGCAAAGGCCCAGGGGAAAGGAACTGCCCAGTAGATCCCAGAAAAGGGCTACCATTGGATATAACAGAGTGTAAAATAACAGGGTAGACAGTATACTGCATCAACGGGTGGAAGACAACTGCCTTTTGGGTTGAGCATAGTCTGAAAGCAATGGAACCACTGAATCCCACAAAAGCTGGTAATCTGCACAGCCCAAAGGTCAGAGCCATCAGGACTTTGCCTGGAATATTCTGGCATTATTGGCAAACAACTCCCTTCCCCTAACAGGTTGGCTGCTGTACACTGAGCCCCAGTGGGAGATCAGAAGGCAGGTTCAGCAGAAATACATAGGACTCTACTCATGTATTGGGAACCATTTTATTTTTCCCTTTTTAGAGACAAGGTCTCATTCTGTTGCTCAGGCTGGAGTACAGTGGTACAAACGTAGCTAGCTCACGGCAGTCTTTAAGTCCCGGGATCCAGTGATCCTCCTGCCTCAGTCTCCCAAATAGCTGGGAACAGACATGCTACCATCATGCCCAGCACCACTTTATGAGATCTAATCTTGGCCACTCACACAGAGGATTGAGCTCTGATGACATGTCTACCCTAACTTTATTTGCTTAGAAGCCCCCATGTGACTCAGCTGGCCTTATAATTCTGATCCCACACGAGTCTTCCATATTGGAGACATACTCAGGAAGGCAAGCCTGAGCAACGTAGGGATCCCCCATACCCCTCACTGTGCTGGGGAGTACTTGAGAAGCCCTGCTGTAATCTCTGCTGACTGCAAAATTGTTGTGGCTTCTGCTCATGATGTAGTTATCATTGTCCATCCCCTCAGGGGCTTCCGAGAGAGGTGGCAGCTGCAGTGGCCTCTGATCTGTCATATAGTATGGATGAACACCACAGGCCAAAGAGCCTCATGTCAGAGGATTTCTGGTCTTTTCTCCCCTAGGCCTCAGGAGGACCCAGGGAAATATACAAAGCCAACTTATAGTTTTTGGTGAACTGAGTTTTATTGAAATGTTTTTGGAAATGATTTTCAACATTTACGAAATCAGATGCCACATAAAAATCCAAATATTTGGCTCTTCTTGCAAAACCACTAAGACTCCACCATATTGTTTCCCCACCCCTTAAGAGGGGCAGACCTGCTTCATGGCCACCATAAGTGGAATTATGAAGGCCCTGGCCATGTGACTCTCTAGACACCCTGGCTACTCACATAAGCCACTCTAGACCATGATTTCTGTCTTCTCTGTCTTGAGGTTCCTACCTGTGCAGTGATGGCCATGAGATGAACAGCCCAGAGAGTCCACAGGAATCCGCAAAACATTTATCTGGATTTCAGTTATGAGTGACAGGTAGGTCTGCATGTCCTGAGAAGTTGTATATACCCTTATGTCACTTGGCCATAGTCACTGGAAGTTTTTAATGTTTCTTTATAACAGACATGTCCCTTCTTGTTTACCAGTCCTCCACACCTAGAGTTTTGTACCAATGATAATTTCCACATAGCCCTGGCAGGTCTGAACCAGTTATACCTGCCTACTGAGTTCTATATTTTTTTTTTTTTGACACGGAGTTTTGCTCTTGTTACTGAGGCTGGAGTGCAATGGTGTGATCCCGGCTCACCGCAACCTCCGCCTCCTGGGTTCAGGCAATTCTCCTGCCTCAGCCTCCCGAGTAGCTGGGATTACAGGCACGCGCCACCATGCCCAGCTAATGTTTTGTATTTTTAGTAGAGACGGGGTTTCACTGTGTTGACCAGGATGGTCTCGATCTCTTGACCTCGTGATCCCCCCGCCTTGGCCTCCCAAAGTGCTGGGATTACAGGCGTGAGCCACCATGCCCGGCCGAGTTCTTTTTTTTTTTTTTTTTTTGAAACGGAGTTTCACTCTTGTTACCCAGGCTGGAGTGCAATGGCGCGATCTCGGCTCACTGCAACCTCCGCCTCCTGGGTTCAGGCAATTCTCCTGCCTCAACCTCCTGAGTAGCTGGGATTACAGGCACGCACCACCATGCCCAGCTAATGTTTTGTATTTTTAGTAGAGACGGGGTTTCACCATGTTGACCAGGATGGTCTCGATGTCTTGACCTCGTGATCCACCCGCCTCGGCCTCCCAAAGTGCTGGGATTACAGGCTTGAGCCACCGCGCCTGGCCGAGCCTGTCAGTCTTTCACAGGAGGCCTTAGGGCAACAAGGCAAATTCAACCAAATCTGGACTGAGAGCTCTTCCTGCCCAATCAGACACTCACTTAGTGCCCCCCGCAAAAAGTCTTTAAACTCACTCACCACCTCTGAGGCAAGTGGCTAATCATCAAGGCCTTTGTTATCTCAGAGACAGACAGACAGATCCAGGTCTGGGTCATTGAGACTAAACATGATTCCCAAGTCACATGTAGATGCAAAAAAATGTCCATGAAGAGAAACTTTACTGTATTAGTTACCTATTAGTCTTAGGCAGCAGTAATAGAGTGCTGTCTAAGATTCTGGGAGCTGTGGCTTTCCCACATTTGTTTCCTATAACTCTATTGTGAATTCTCTGGTGATTCTTCTTGAAAGGGGGTGTCTATAGCTGAAGGCTTTCCCATTTTCACTGCACTTATAATGCCTTTTTCCCATAGGTACTTTATATTGCTTTCTCACATAGGAGAGGTGACTGAAGACCATCCTGTATTCCTTACATGCAGGGGTTTTCTCTAATGTGAATTTTTTGGTTATAGATAAGGATTGATTTCTTCTTGAGTGTCTTTCTTCATACCAAGTGTTTCAAGAGTCTCTCTTCAGTGTGGGCTCTTAGGTGGTTGAAGAGGGCTAAAGTCTTCATGAGGGCCTTCCCATAGCCAATGCTCTTGAAGGGCTTCTCTCTCATGGCCTTCCCAGTGTTAACTGATGTTGGAGCTGTGTGGCAGCATCTTCCTACTCAGCTCTTCATGGCTTCCCTGTGCCATGGGTGCTCTGGTGATGGAGAAAGGAAGGCATTTCCACATTCTCTTTTGAGCTTCTCATTATTCTGGTACTCCAGTGCTGGAAAGAGGGTAGTTACCCTGGAAATTATTCACAAATGCCTGGCCCTAGAGTCCTCTCACTTATGAATTCTGCTGTGCATGAAAAGTGCTCTTTACAAATGAGACTGTGAGTCGTGTCACATCTTAAAAGGTGGTCTCCACCATTAATGTTGTTGGTGAAGGTTTGATCTACTCCCGTGTGGGGTTTCTATCTGGAGTATCCTGCCTAACATTCAGCCAGGAGTACAATCTTTGGCAGGCTAAGGGTGCCATGGTCAGGGTGAGGAATGACCAGTCATGGAGTACTGGCCCTGTCACACACCCCACTGCTGAGCCTGTTAAGTGACATTCACATGGGCAGGGAGAACAGAGAGGGATCTAGGACAGATTGGCAGCAGCAGTGGCTACTGAAACTGTTGTTCAATGATGTGAGCCCAGGCCACTCTTTGCTTTTTTTTTTTTTTTTTTGAGACGGAGTCTCACACTGTCTCCCAGGCTGTAGTGCAGTGGCACGATCTCAGCTCACTGCAGTCTCCGCCTCCTGGGTTCAAGCAATTCTCCTGCCTCAGCCTCCCGAGTAGCTGGGACTACAGGCGTGCACCACCACATCCAGCTAATTTTGTTTTTTTGTATTTTTAGTAGAGATGGGGTTTCATCATGTTTGCCATGATGGCCTCGATCTCCTGACCTCATGATCTGCCCGCCTCAGCCTCCCAAAGTGCTGGGATTACAGGCTTGAGCCACTGCACCCAGCCCACTCTTTTCTTTTTTAGAGATGGGGCCTTGCTATGTTGCCCAGGTGGGCGCAAACTCCTGCGCTCAAGAGATCCTCCTGCCTCAACTTCTCAAGTGGCTGGGACTATAGGTGTGCACCACTGCACCTGGCCAGACCTCTCCTTTATGGGACGCCTATTCACATCCCAGCCAATGCTCTCATGAGTACTTCCTTGTATGAGGGAGGTCAGGGAAACAGCAACAGCTCACGTGTAGATTATGCTGAAATTACATGGTAAATAAGCTTTTAAAAATAGGTGCCAAGCACCATATTCTACAAGGTTCTGGATCTCAAGCTTTTTCTAAAATACCAGATCTGTCAACTGTGTTAAATAACCACATCTGCCTGTGCCCACTCTGTTGGCCAGCAAGACTGTGAAACCATGAAGTGTGTGTTATTGACCAGAAACCCTGGCCAGACTATAAAAACCACTTTCCTGGACTATAGGCTGTCATTCTTCTCAGTCCCCAGTTCCTACCTGGGGAGTGATGGGTGCCAAGATACAGTTCAAGAGAAGTGAAGTGAATGCACACAAAATTGCATTTATCTGTTTTAACTGTGGCAAAAACTTTAACTTGGCAAGTATGAAGGTCTGCAGCTCTGGAGTTGTTCTGTATACCCTCACCCTGCAGTCACAGTTGACGGGGAACTATGGCTACTCCTTTGTCCAGGATAGCATTTGCTCTAGTTTACCACAGTCTCCCCAAATCCCTATTTATTACCTCACATCCAGTGTTTCTCTATGCACATGGAGTACTCTCTGGGCCCCTCTAGGTTTTGCCTTGGTGACCCTGTGACTATTTTAGTGTTGTAGACTAATTTATTTTTCCTCAGGGTAAGCTCTGTGCCCTAAGGTAACTCTGAAACATAGGCCACTATGTTCAGTCCAGAGTCTTTCAGTCTTTCCCAGTACTTTACATAGCAATATGAAGTAGGCTACAACCGGACAGAGCAACTACCAGCTCTTCTACTGTGTCCTTAGCCAGATTTCATGCCCCCCACTCTATCCATTCATTTTCTCAACCTACTCCAACAGAATCCCTAAGACTAAAAGGTGACCTTGTCAATAAGGTCTTTATTATCACACAGTATAGTGCAGACAAGGTAGGTTATTCCGGTGGAGGGTGATTTGTGGTCTCAGTGGACACATCTTAGGGTTTAAACACAGACTTGATTTCTTCCTGAGCTCAAATTAGATTTCCTTCAAGGCCTCTTGACCAGCATGGGTTCAGTTCACTGCCTAACCCTCTCAGAGGCAATGGGAATTAAACCACTCCAGTGAGCTGAGGACTGTCCTGAATCCCTACAGGACAGGGTAAGGGAGCCTCAGGGAACTGTTTTCCCCATGCATGAGGACAGGACTGCTGCAAATTTTTGGATCCAGGCAAGATGGAAAGTGGCTATGGCTTCTGCCTTATGCTCCATGGGTGAGATGGCCATACAAAGTTTTCTGGGCTGGTGAGAAAGAACAGAGTAGCTTCTAAACGCTTTGCCACGTTAGGAGTACATGTAGGTAAATTCTAATATGGGGATTCTACTGCAGAAGTTTGACTTGGCTGAAGATTTTCTCATAAAGACCACTCCCATAAGGCTCCACTCAGGTATGAATCTTTCTGTGCTGAGCAAGGTTACAAAGATGGCTGAAGACTTTCTCACACTGGCTACACTCATAAATCCTTTCTCTGGTATGAGCTTTCTGGTGCCGAACAAGTGTAGATCTTTCACTAAAGGCTTTTCCACACTGGATGCACTCATAGGGCCTTTCTTTTGTGTGAACTCTCTGATGACGAACCAGGTGAGAGTTACTGCTGAAGGCTCTTCCACATTCGCTGCATTCATAAGGCCTTTCTCCAGTGTGAACTCTCCAGTGACAAATAAGGCTAGATTTTCGGCTAAAGAATTTCCCACATTCACTGCACTTATAAGGCTTTTCTCCAGTATGAACTTTCTGATGCTTAATGAGAATGGAGTTTTGGCTAAAGAATTTCCCACATTCGTTGCACTCATAAGGCTTTTCTTTTGTGTGAACTCTCCAGTGTTCAATGAGACTGGAACTGTGAGTGAAGGCTTTCCTACACTCACTACATTCATAAGGCCTTTCTCCAGTGTGAATTCTCCAGTGCTGAATCAGGCTGGAGCTGCGGCTGAAGGATTTCCTACATTCACTGCATTCATAAGGCCTTTGCCCAGTATGTACTTTCTGGTGCTGGATGAGGGTGGAGCTATTGCCAAAGGCTTTACCACATTCGCTGCATTCAAAAGGCCGTTCTCCAGTGTGAACTTTCTGATGTCGAAGGAGATGGGAGCTTTGGCTGAAGTCTCTTCCACATTCACTGCACTCAAAAGGTCGTTCTCCAGTGTGAACTTTCTGGTGCTGAGCAAGGTTGGAGTTATTATTAAAAGCTCTTCCACATTCACTGCATTCATATGGTCTTTCTCCAGTGTGAACTCTCCAGTGCTGAATGAGAGCAGAGCTTCGGCTGAAGGATTTACCACATTGATTGCACTCATAAGGTCTTACCTGGGTGTGAACTTTCTGGTGCCGAAGGAAATTGGAGCTTTGGCTGAAGGCTTTTCCACATTTCAGGCACTCAAAAGGCCTTTCTCCAGTGTGAACTTTTTCATGTCGAATGAGGTGTGATCTGTTATTGAAGGCTTTCCCACATTCACTGCACTCATAATGTTTTTCTCCTGGGTGAATTCTCTGATGATGAACAAATGTGAGTTTGTGGTTGAAGGTTTTTGCACTTTCAGTGCACTCATATTTTACTTTAGTGTGAAGTTTCTGGTGCTTCCTCAGCTTAGATGGGTGACTAAAGGCCTTTCCACATTCCTTGCACACATGGGATATTTCCCCAGTGTGAAGTTTTTGATTACCAAGGGTTGATTTCTCCTCTAAGAAATTTCCACCTGTTGGGCATCTAAATGTTATCTCTTCAGAGTGAGTTCTGAAATGGTTGAGGAGAGTGGAGCTTTTCAGGAAGGCTTTTCCACAGTTGCTGCACTTGAAGAGTTTCTGTGTGGTACAGAGTTCTGGAATCTGCCCAAGATTGGAATATGGCTTCCTTCTGCTGTCAACAGCTTGAAGCTGGAGGAGGTCACGGCTGTCCAGGATGGCCTTCCCACCTTCCCTGCAAGTCAAGGGGTTCTCTGACAGGTGGACTTCAGAGCTCTTCATAAGTACATCCCTGTCCTTACACCATCTGAAGGGCTTCCCTCTACTATACTCCTGGTGCTGGTGAAGGTATGCACTCAACCAAAACTCTCTCCCACATGCTCCACATGAGTAGAGTTTCTCCTCAGAGTATGTTTTCTGATGCTCAGGCAGGTGCAAAATGTCTTTCAAGAATGGCCCACACATGTCACAGGGGTAAGCCCTCTGGGTGGAGGGATCTGCATTTGCACTCCTGACCTGTAACACCTCTTCTACAGAAGCATTCTTCTTCAGATGGGCCTCCTGACCCTCTACTCCATGCCAGCAACCTGAAAGTAGAGAAACGCCAGGCAACTAGGTATTCCACTTGGTGGTAATAGATGCCTTCATTAGAAATGTGTTACCCAGGAATTCATACCCAAGAACAGGTCCCAGGAATTGTTGACAGGCCGACAGGACCATCATCAGGGTGAAGAAGGGCCCATTACTATGCAGGATAGGGACCAGCCAAGCAACAGAATAAGGGAAACCTCACTAGAGTATGGACACAGAAATGGGTCAAAGAACTTAAATAGACATTTCTCCAAAAGAAGATATATACACAAACGATCAACAAGCATTTGAAAATAAGTTCAGCATCCTTAATCATTAGGAGTATGCAAACCAAAACCACAGTGAGATACAACTTCACACCCACTAGCATAGCTATAATAAATAAACAGCAAGAAATGAAGATGAAGTAGAAAAACTGGAGCACTTATACACTGCAGATAGGGATGTAAAATGGGGCAGCCAATTTGGAAAACAGTTTGGCAAGTGTGCTCCTACAGAGCTACACAAGAGAACTAAAAGCATATCTACACAAAAATGTGTACAAGACCGTTCATGGCAATATGTTTTTAAAAACTGAGATGGGGTCTTGCTACGTTGCCCAGATTGGTCTCAAACTTCTGAGCTCAAGTTATCCTCCTTCCTCAGCCTCCTGAGTAGCTGGACTATAGGCACCTCACCCAGCTTCTATAGCAGCATTTTTTCTGACACCTAAAAAAATGGAAACAAGCCACATTCTCATTAACTGATAAATGGATAAACAAACTGTAGTCTATCTATACACTGGAATTTGGCTGTAAAAAAGAATGAAATATTGATACATCCTACGAAATCGATGAACTTCAAAAACATGTTAAGAGAAAGCCAGTCACAGAAAAACACATGGTAAGAGTCAATTTTTTTTTTTTTTTTTTTTTGAGACGGAGTTTCACTCATGTTACCCAGGCTGGAGTGCAATGGTGTGATCTCGGCTCACCGCAACCTCCACCTCCTGGGTTCAGGCAATTCTCCTGCCTCAGCCTCCTGAGTAGCTGGGATTACAGGCACACAGGGGTTTCACCATGTTGACCAGGATGGTCTCGATCTCTTGACCTCGTGATCCACCCGCCTCGGCCTCCCAAAGTGCTGGGATTACAGGCTTGAGCCACCGCGCCCGGCCCGGTAAGAGTCAATTTCTATAAAGTAGCTAGGAAAGGTAAGTCTATATAGTCAAGAAGTAGATTCATAGTTGCCTAGGACCAGGGGGAAATAAGGGATAAGGGAAGATGGGGAGTAACAGCTAATGGGACTGCTAATGAGACCTAAAGTTTCTCTTTAGGTGATGAAAACATGCTAAAATTACATTATAGCAATGATTATACCATGCAAAAACACATAAAAATCACTAAACTGTATATATATATATTTTTGAGACTAACTTGTATACTGTAAAGGGTGAATGGTGGCTGGACGCAGTGGCTCACGCCTGTAATCCCAACACTTTGGGAGGCTGAAGTGGGCAGATCATGAGGTCAGGAGTTTGAGACCAGCTTGGCCAATATGGTGAAACCCCATCTCTACTAAAAATACAACAATTAGCTAGGTGTGGTAGCATGCCCCTGTACTCCCAGGTACTCAGCAGGCTGAGGCAGGAGAATCACTTGAACCCAGGAGGCAGAGGTTGCAGTGAGCCAGGATCGCACACTGCATTCCAGCCTGGAGACAGAGCAAGACTCAATGTTAAAAAAAAAATGAATTGTATGGCTTATCTTAATAAAACTATCTTTAAAAAATATCTCATTGGGGAAAGAAACAGAATCTGGACATGGCCTCATACTAGGTAACCGAACCAGGGATTGCTGAAGTTCAGTGGGATCTGTTAGGCAGATTGCAGATGTCTGATCCCCAACCTTTGCCTCCACAAGGCTCCTGGGCAACAGCTATTAGGAAAGCTCATGAGGCTGCTCAAAAGAGAGACAGGGGAATTATACACAGCAGAGTCTCAGCACCCCAGCATCCACAACAGGAAACCTGAGAAGGAAGCAGTACCCATGATATGGCTTTGGCAAGAACAGAACTTTCTATGGGGAAGAGACACAGGGCATAAGCTGGTCACCACCATGCTGGGGCAGGGCATTACCAAGTGAGGTAATGAGCTCAAAGTTTTCCACCATCACGTTGTGGTACAGGTGCCTCTGGGCTGCATCAAGGAGCCCCCACTCCTCCTGGGAGAAATATACAGCCACATCTTCAAAGGTTACCAGGCTCTTCAATGAGGGGACAGCTGAGCCACAGGGCCAACAGGTATGCTAAAAAAGAAACAAACAAATGATCAAATGGAAATATGTAGGCCCTTGCCATGTGACTCAGAATTCTGACACATCTACCACTGACATCTCTTTTTCTTATGAGTCTCTCAGTCCATCTACTAGTCACCCACAGCTTGTCTTCCTCAGGGCCCCACTTAACATACCCTGGACTTAATGGTGCCCCTCTCTCTCCTAGTAGTCCCAGTGGTCACTGTATCCAGGGCAACCCAACCTAGAGAAGCAACAGGCTGATGGGCAGATGGATGCTGCCTCCTCCCTCCTACTGGCCAATTTTCTTTGTGTCTTCTGGCTCATACCTCCCAAACAAGAAAATCTGGGCTTTTCTTTTTCTTTATGACTCTTGTACCAGGGCCACGGGTCCAATGGTTCACATTCCCTCACCTTTACATGTCACTCCTCAGACCAGACAATTCTTATGTTTCCATCCCCTACTGTTCACACTGTAGGCTTCTCCCTAGCATCTCACCATGTGCATAGGATTCCTGACAGATGCAACCAGGATCCAATCCTGGTCCAAGCCAGCTACAGAGCTCCAAATACTCCACTGCCAGAGGCAGCCATAGCCCTGAAGTCAGTGTCTCCCCTCCTTGCCTTGTTCCTTCAACTATCAGCTGCCCAGAATCAAAAGCAGATCTCAAATATCTTTTCCCTCTTATATCGTTGCCTTTGTATGTGTTGTCTCCTTCCTAGTCATAGCTGTCTCTGCTATTCCTAACACTCAAATCCTAGACTCACTGGCCCCACCTTGGCTTGGGGACTCAGCTTAGGCTGACCCTTTCTGATCTTGCCACTCCACCAACCTGACAAAAACCCCAGAAACCCACTTAAGAGGAGATAACATGCCCTGACTATAAAAAGGATTGCCACAAAAATGTAGTGAGCTATAGAGAGGTAAGTCAACCTAAACCAAAGCCCAGCTCTCATGCTTCTATTGCTATGCTTCATTTTTGTCCTAGACCTACTCTCTGCTCAAGAGGCTTGGCCACTATCTTAAACCCAACTAACAATTGCATGTAGTGTCCACACACGAGCATCCATCCGTTGGATGTTTCCAGCCTAAACCCAACATAATTTCATAATTGCATGTTTAGAGGTCCATTTGGCACCTCAATTTGGCAGTCTCTGGGACATCTCAAATACAACATGGCCAAAATCCAACTCTGATCTTCTCCCTGAAATCTACTCCTCACACAAACTTTCACATCTCAAAGATCTAACGTCATTTTTTTTTTAAAGACAGAGTCTCGCTCTGTCACTCAGGCTGGAGTGCAGTGGCATAATCTCAGCTCACTGCAACCTCCATCTCCCAGATTCAAACAATTCTTCTGCCTTAGCCTCCCAAGTTGCCGGGATTACAGGTGCATGCTACCATGCCCCAGCTAATTTTTTTGTATTTTTAGCAGAGATGAGGTTTCGCCATATTGGCCAGGCTGGTCTCAAACTCCTGACCTCAAGTGATCTGCCCGCCTCAGCCTCCCAAAGTGCTGGGATTACAGGCGTACACCACTGTGCCCAGCCTAAGGTCAATCTTAACACCTCACTTTCTTTCACTGTCCCACATCAGGTAATCTATGGCCCAGTTTGGGCAGATTCAGAAGCCAACCATTTGTCCTACCTCCACAGGCACCCTTCTGTCCAGCTACCCAAAGCACACATCTGGACCATGTCTATCAGCCCCTCACTGGCCTTCCTGCTCCACCCTCACCATCCCTCCAGTCTGCTCTCCACTAGGTATCTACAGGGAGTCTGTTAAGACTGGAGTCAGAGCACCTCCTTCCTCCGCTCCAAACCTTCCATGGTTGACACCACCATCAGAATAGAGGCCCAGCTCCTCAGGCTGCCATTCCAGGCCTAAGTCTGGTTTACATGCTGTTTCCACCAGACTAAATGGAGATCTGCAGTCCCTGGAATGCTTCCATGTCATCACCACTAGGCAAGGCACACATGCTGGGTCCCTGTGCCTGGGACAGCCTTCCAGATTTCATTCCGTAGCATTCCAGAAATGGGAATCCCTCGATATAACCCCTGGCCTGGATTCAGGATGGCAAGGGTAAGTGACTACCAGGGCAGGGCCCAAGACCCATGTGTGAGGACAGGACAGAGCCAAGAGTCCCAGGACACCAACATCCCCTATATCTGGGCTTCAGGATCCTGAGTGGCGGAATCCCAGCGGTGAGGGCCCGGGGCACACTCCACTCACCTGCGCCGGGCCCATCAGCGACGCTGGCAACCCCATTGGAACCTGTGGGCTGGGCAGTGCCATAACAGGAGGTGCCAGGGCTAGCTCAGCCGAACCCTCACACCTCCACTGGGTGGCGCGAACATTGGCTGACAACCGGTTGCACTCGGGGCCTGTCTTCCCAGATACAAAACGCGCGCAAAGAACAGGGAGCCGCCTCCCGGCACCGCAGGAACGAAAGTTGGGTAAGGAGACTCCAGAGACCCGTGGCGCTGGCTCCACTTTCGGGATCACCTTGGTTCAGAAAAGCAGAGTCATTAGCTTGGCGGGGGCGGGGGAGAGGTGGGGGGGGTGGGTGTCAGGGTGTGTGCGCATGCGCGGTGACGGTCCCTGCACCCACTCCCGCGCCCCCGTCCAGCTCCACAGGCCTGCTGCAGCCCAACCCATCAGCCGCAAAATGAGGACCGCGATGGCGGCGCCGGAAGCCCCGCTCCTCGTCGGAGCTTTCATTGGCTCAGGGCACGCTGCCGACTTGACGCCATTGCCTGTCTTCGTCACCCTGCGTCTATGTCGTTGCCAAGGTGATTGAAGAAAGGCGTTTTTTGCGTCGCCGCTCACGCAATGCAAACTACATTATCCAGAAGGACCCTCGCAGAGCATCAGGGCTGGTATTGGCAGCCCAGGGGACGGGCACTTCCGGGCGGGGCGTAAAGACGATGGTCAATCACAGCCTGCAGGCGGGACTTCCGTCGTCGTCCTCGGACCGTCACTTCGGCGTTTATCGGTTTTGTCTGCACCTGAAGGGACCGCGTTTCCAGGCGAGGGACGTAATCTTGGGAGCTTCCTGGGCCCGTGAAAGCAGGAGCGAGGAAGGCACGAGAGTCAGAGAAGTTCTGCCTCCGTGACATATAAGCGCCCCTACCGCGACGAATATTGCCCCCACGAACCCCAGCGTTTCCCGCTGCCGCAGATAAAGCCGGCCCAGTGGGACACTTTGGCCGCACCGCGCGGAAGTGTCCGCGGCTTCCGGGGGTCGTCATTGGCGTTGTGTCGGCTTTATGGGGCGCGAGGCCGAGGCCAAGAAAAGCTGCGCGTTTAGAGGTCGTGACCCAGCGTACGGCCGGCTCCGGGCATGGAACGTGTGCCAGGGGTCTCCTGGCACCCACTCGGCTGGACTCATCACCATTGTCCTAACTCTCTGATTGAGAAGTATCTGCTCAGGTCCCCCGCGGCCCTACCGAACAGTGTGGAGCGTTCACAGGTGGGGGAGAGGGGCGTCACCATTTCAAAATCCAGTTTCTTGAGACGTGGAGGGTACAGGAGGAGGGATCTGCATATGCGAAGATTTAGACGTGAGACTGACCCAAGCGTTCAGGAAGGCTCTCGTGCCCCCTCGGCAGCGAGTGGAGAGCGTAAGAGGAGTCCTGCCTCTCCTGACACTGAGGGTGCTGGGAGCCATGAAAGGTTTTGGACAGAAAAGGGATGGACATGATCTGAGCTAGACTTTTGAAAGTATTCCAGTGGCTGCCGAATGAACACACTACTGGAGAAGGTGGTTGTAGTGGGGCTGGAAGCAGGGACGCTATAGGGAGGTTATTGCCGTATTGTTCCGGACGGTTATGATAGTGGCCTATCCAGAATGGAAGCAAGAGTGGTGGGAGAAGTGATCCTAATAGATCTTCCAGGTAGAGCCGGTGGAATTTCTTGTTACCTTAGATAAGTGGAGTAAGCATGAGTAGGGGTGAAGAACCAACCTAAGTATTTAGGAGGAATTAGGATGCCTCCTGTGGAGAGCAGAGGTTGGCAGTTGGCAGGAGGAGGATGGATTTTGTAGGTATAGAATCTAATTTGTCTGGAGACCTGTGAGTGGAGGTGTCAAATGGGCCCCTGGATGCATCAAATTCTGGTGTGGCTTCAGGAAGTCCAGACTGCATTATGTTGGTGGTCTGAACCAGGGAAGGGCCTGAAGATAGGATATGGGAAGGAGGGTTTTAGGTTGCAGCTACAGATACACCCTCGAGGTGAGTGTGAAGTGTTGAGACTAAGGACTAATGACTAGGGCTCATGCCCAGTGCTTAGATCTCACCTGTCTTCCCATTGGCTTGGTGTTGCAGGGCTTGGTGACCTTTGAGGAGAAGGTCAGTACAGCTTTCAAAAATGTGGGGCTCCTTAGTGAGGTCCAGGAGGGCTTCTACAGTGACATGATGCTAGAGAGCTCTGTACTCCTGTGCTCACTAGGTAAGGCTACTGTGTCTCCTCTTTCCCCTACACCTGAAATCTTTGTTTTCCTTTGCCTTTCCCTTGTTCCCTATGGGAGGTGCTGCTGGCCCTGGCACTGGCCAGTGTCCTGCTACTTATCCCTGGCTGCTGCATAAATAACACCTTCTACAGAGCTACAGTGACAGTCCCTGCACCCACTCCTGCGCCCTTGTTCGGCTCCTGAGGCCTCCTGTAGCCCAACCCACCAGCGGCAAAATGAGGACCGTGATGGCACGGTGCTAGAAGTCCTGCCCCTCAACGCCCTGTGTGGCATATCACATGCAGCTGGGTCTTTTCCTGGCTAGGTTACCTGTCAGGATCTGTGATTTTTCTGTCCCTTCTGCCACATTCCCTCATTCTAGTAGAAGGTTTCTGCCAGCTGTCTCTTGTGAGTCCCAGTGGGCACTGACATGGTCATTGATTGTGGGATCACTGAGCATTGACTTTCGGATATTCAGTTCTTCCCAGCTATATGCCTACACAGGTGATCTTCACCTACTATGGTTTGTCATGGGGTGGTTCACCTTGGCGTGTGCTGCCTTCTCACAAACCACTTGATCAGAGCTCTGTAGAATCACTGCCCCCACTTCTGCAATGTGATCACCTAACTAGAACAAATGAAGAGACCTGACTGGTGGACAGGGTGGCTTGAATTAGGCCATGGACAGAGAGGCCACATAGTGTACCAGTTCTGTTGAATGAAAGACAGCTGTTGGAGAGCTGTTGGCAGTGCCCTGGTGGCTCACCTGGTACCTGTGTTGTGCCCTCTGTTGTCCTGGCACCAGGATGTGTAGCCGTGCCTTTTTAAAAATTTTTTTCTTGGCCTGGCATATTGGCTCATGCCTGTAATCCCAGCACTTTGGGGCGCTGAGGCTGGCAGATCACAAAGTCAGGAATTCGAGACCAGCCTAGCCAATATGGCGAAACTCTGTTTCTACTAAAAGAAATAAAAATTAGCCAAGCATGGTGGTGTGCTCCTGTAATTCCAGCTACTCAGGAGACTGAGGCAAGAGAATAATTTGAACCTGGGGGACAGAGGTTACAGTGAGCTAAGATCATGCCATTGTACTCCAGCCTAGGCAATAGAGTGAGACTCCATTTCAAAAAAAAAAAAAAAAAAAATTCCCGACCTTCTGACACTCTATCCTACTTTGCCCTGACTTCTGTCCCCTGGATGGCCTCCTTTCTCTAGCTTCCAAGACTCATTCTTTCTTCTTCTCCCCTCTTCTTTCCAATGGCCAGGTCTTCTACCATTGGCCTCCCTTTAATGTGTCTTGAACTGATAATGTATCTTTAAATAGTTCTTATCTGCACATGATGGCTCATGCCTGTAGTCCCACCTATTTGGGTTGCTGAGGCAGGAGGGTCACTTGAGCCCGGGAGTTTGAGTCTAGCTTGGGCAACATAGCGAGATCCTATCTCTAAGATAAATAAATACATAAATATATAAATAGTTTTTGGGAAAAAAAAAAAAAAAAAAAAGATAAATAGTTTTTGAAAACCTGTTCTTGGCCGTGCGCGGTGAATCACACCTGTAATCCTAGCACTTTGGGAGATCAAGGTGGGCAGATCGCCTGAGCTCAAACGTTCGAGACTAGCCTGGGCAATGTGGCGAAACCCCGTCTCTACTAATAATACAAAAAAACTAGCAGGGCATGGAAGCGCGTGCCTATAGTCCCAGCTACTTGGGAGGCTGAGGCAGTAGAATCCCTTGAATCCAGGAGACAGAGGTTGCAGTGAGCCGAGAGTGTGCCACTGCACTCCAGCCTGAGCAACAGAGAAGACTGTCTCAAAAAAAAAAAAAAAGAGGAAAGAAAACCTGTTCTTCCATGAGACTGGCTTGTTCCATTTGAGGAGTATGGGCGTAGGTGTCAGTGGTTCAAGACCTGGACTTGTCCCACTGCACGGTCCTGGCCTGTCACCAGACTTTAGGGCCCTGCACTCCACATTTACAGAACATACAGAGAACTGACAGTGAAGAGATATCTGATAAATACATAGCATATGGAAAGGTGTTTCAGGAGAAGGAAAGCTTTTCTCCTACCAAAAAACTTAACTGTAAAAAATTGCAAGTATATTTGGAGCATCAGAAGGCCTTCACTTTTGTCTTTATCCTGAGAAAGCAGGAGTACATCCACATCTTCAAAGGGCCTTACAAGTGTAACGTGGGGAATCCTCTAGCCAGAAATCAACCTCTGAGCACCAAAATGTTCATCCCAGAGAAAGTCCCCATAAGCTCAAGAAGTGTGGCCCAGCCTTGAGCAAAATTTTGCAAAACTCTCTTCTGCACCAAAATGTTCATACTCTATGAAGGACTCCTAAGTGCAGAGAATGTGGGGCACTGCCAGGTACCAGGTGAGCCACCTGGCACCTGACTTGAGGTTCATACATGCTATATTCAGAGCTCTGTTTTCATTAGGAAAAAAAGAGAGAATAGTTGTACAAATGCAATAACTATGTGAAAGCTTTCAGTGAAATAAGAAACTCATCCTGCAGAATTCTCATCAGAGAAAGGCCCAATGCATGCAGCTAATGCTAGAAAGCCTTTTCTCATAGTTTTAATCCTGTTTAACACCAGCAATTTACAGCATTGTGAGTGTAGCACATAGGAGAGCAAAAAATTGCAGCTCCTGCCTTGATGTACACAAAGTGATTCGCACTGGAAAAAATCTCTGTGAATGCAGCCAGCATGGGAGAGCATCAGCCACAGCTCCTGCCTTGCTTGGCACCAGAAACTTCACCCTGGAGAAAAACCTTTTGATTGTAGTAAATGTAGGAAAGTCTTCAGCTGCTTTATTCAGTATAAAATAATTCACACTGACTGGGTGTGGTAGCTCATACCTGTAATCCCAGCAGTTTGGGAGGCCAAGGCAGGTGGATAATCTGAGGTCAGGTGTTCAAGACCAGCCTGGCCAACATGGCAAAACCCCCTCTCTACAAAAAATACAAAAATTGGCTGGGCATGGTGGCATGCATCTGTAATCCCAGATACACCAGAGGCTGAGAGAGAAGAATCGCTTGAACCTAGGATGCAGAGGTTGCAGTGAACTGAGATGGAGCCACTGCACTCCAGCTTGGGTGGCAAAGCAAGACCCTGTCTCCTGCCTCCACAAATAAAGCAGACCCTATGTGAGTGGCCTTCAGCCACAGCTAAACCTTGTATAGAGGGATTCCTGTCTGAGGAGACACTCCATGATGGTCCTGCATGTGGAGAAGCTGACAGAACCCATGTTGTACTTTACGACCCATTGAGGGACCTTGGCGGAGCTGTCACACCACTGGGTCCTGTGGTGGAAGCCCATCTGTGTTTGATGGTGACTTCCCAGTTGCTCAATGTAAGTCACTCCCTGTTTCCTGTTTATACTACCTTGGAGGGATGGTAGTGGCTTTGTACCCATTTGGGTGGCATCATGCTCATGCATGATGGGGTTTTTTTTTGAGATGGAGTTTCGCTCTTGTTACCTAGGCTGGAGTGCAATGGCGCAATCTCGGCTCACCGGAACCTCCGCCTCCTGGGTTCAAGCAATTCTCCTGCCTCAGCCTCCCGAGTAGCTGGGACTACAGGCGTGCGCCACCATGCCCAGCTAATTTTTGTATTTTTAGTAGAGCTGGGATTTCACCATGTTGACCAGGATGGTCTCGATCTCTTGACCTCGTGATCCACCCGTCTCGGCCTCCCAAAGTGCTGGGATTACAGGCGTGAGCCACCGCGCCCGACCGCATGATGGGGTTTTACATGGACATGACCCCATTCCAAGCAAGGAGCCTGACTGGATAATTTCTTTCTCTTTTTCGTTCCTCCCCTTTTCTCCCCTTCCCTCCCTTTCCCATCTCTCTCCCTTCTTTCCTTCCCTCCCTTGCTCCCTTCCTCCCTTCCTTCCTTCTTTCTTTTTTTTTTTGTTTTGAGACAGAACTGGCTCTGTCACCTAGGCTGGAGTACAGTGGCGCTAACTTGGCTCACTGTAACCTCCGCCTCCCGAATTCAAGCAATTCTCCTGCCTCAGCCTCCCAAGTAGCCAGGATTACAGGCATGCACCACCATGCCCGGGTAATTTTTGTATTTTTAGTAGAGACAGGCTTTCACCATATATTGGCTAGGCTGGTCTCAGACTCCTGACCTCAAGTGATCTGCTTGCCTCAGCCTCCCAACATGCTGGGATTATTGGTGTGAGCCACCACTCCCAGCCCAGATTGGATAGTTTCTGAGGGACATGTGGGTAAGTTTCCCATTTTCCATGGACATTGTAAAGTGTGTGTTTGACACCCATGATGTCTTCATTGAGCTTCATTAAG